CTACCTCGGCCTGTCTCCTGACTGCCTCCGACTGCCTGCAGTTGCAGGGCGGGCAGTCCAGGAGGCTGCTCTTGCCAATGCCAAGCTGAGCCAGGTGTTGGCGCTGCAGCTGTCGTGGGAATAGGCCAAAAATAGCCTGTTCCTAAAACCCTGGTTTGGTGCCTGAGTTTCGGGGCAGGTCGGTCTGATGAGGCCCCGAAAATGGCCCTCAGTTTCAGGCTAAAAAGGTTCATGCCGTTTTTAGTCTGAAACGACACAGGGCCTGTAGGCCCCTGTTTCCAGCTTTTCCAGCTGAACAGACACGGGGCCTGTAGGCCCTAAATTTCAGGCTTTCGGCCTGAAATTCAGGCTTTTAGCCTGAAGGACGCAGGGCCTGGAAAATGGCCCTCGTGCGCAGGCGCAGCATGTCACACCCCCCCCTCCTTATGAAGTCAAGTCGGGGCGAGGGCGAAGCTGACGATCTGAAGGTGGAACGTGGATGCGGGTGCGACGTGGAGCCGAAGATACCGGCTTGCCTTGCATCTTTCGTTCGTAGCGTGCGAGAACATCCGGAGCTGTGGCTTGGAGTTTCGCACGGGTTAACCAATGGTCAGCTTTGTGACTGCAGTACGCAAAATGTACCAAGTACTCGGTTGGCCTGTTGCCATAGCGTCGCTGGGAGATGATGTCGCCGACCTCTTGAAAACCGTCCATAGAGGGTGGGTCTTGCGCTCGTCGCCCGCGAAACTCGTCATGTTCCGCTGGCGTGTAAAGAGCCAACTTGGAGCAATGAAAGACGGGTAGACGGGCAAGTGGGCCGGCACCTGAATGGTGAAGGAAGGTCCCTCGGGTGCATCCCCAGAGGGTGCCACGATCGCCCAAGGCCCCATCCATTTCGGGAGGAGCTTGCGAGAGATCTCTTGTTCAAGGCTGAAATCCGCACCAGTGCGGAATGGGCAAGGAAGAAATTGGCCTGTTGGCTCATGCGTTGCTGCGTCTTGGCCATCTGGTCGCGTGCCTTGACAAGTAGCTCTTGCATCCGACGCAAGAAAAGAAGATGGTCGTCACTCTCGGCCATTCGTGGAATGATTGTGTCCAACGGAGAAGTGACCGGAGAGCCGTGCTCGAACTCGAAGGGCGACATCCCGATAGCCGGGTGGATGGACGAGTTGTATGCCAACTCGACATCCGGCAGCCGCTCAACCCAATCCTTTTGGTCGGAACGGATGAGAGTGCGAAGGAGAACCTGTGCGGTCTGGTGCGCCCTCTCCGTTTGTCCATCGGTTTGGGGGTGGCGGGCCGAACTTGGCTTGAGAGATGAGCCCCATCGTTTGATGAGCGCCAACCAAAAATCGGACATGAACCGAGTGTCGCGGTCGCAGACGATTTCCTTGGGGTAACCCTTGGTTCGAATCCAACCGGCATAAAGAACCTCGGCCAACTCCGGTGCCTTGGCATGATAGCGGCAAGGCAAAAACATGGCGAACTTGGTGAGTCGGTCGACCACCGTGAGAATCCCATCCACTCCGGTCTTGTGCTTGAAGAACGGGCCGGTAATATCCATGGCAATCGCTTCCCTTTGCCGCAGGGGACCGGTAACGGTCGCAACTCGCCGTACGGACGATGATTGTGGGATTTGCAACGTTGGCAAACCTCGCATGTCTCGCAATAGCGCGTGACGTCATCGAGAAAACCGGGCCACCAAAAGCGCTCGCGGAGTCGGCCAATTGTACGATTGACTCCAAAGTGTCCGGTGGCGGGAGCGTCGGGGAACTCGCCAAGAAGCCGTGTGCACAAGTGTAAATCTCGTGGCACACAAAGAAGATCCTTCCCTCGCGGGTGAACGAGCAATACCCCTCTTGGATCCGATAGTGCGATGGCGCCGCAAAACTCGGGGTCGACTTGGTAGTCGCGGATGATGTTGTCCCGCAAGTCATCGTTAATCTCAAAAGTTGAGTAGACTGCGGTACAATGGTCCGGACGTCGTGAAAGAGCATCCGCAAAACGGTTTCACTTGCCCGGAATGTGGTCGGGGAAGAAGTCAAACAGGTCAATGAAGGCCATCCAATGGGCAATGGTGCTATTGACCATGTCTTGGGTCTTGTAAAAGACCAATGGATTGTTATCCGTTACCCATCGGAATTGCCGTCAACCGAGAAGAAAATGCCGCCAGCGCTTGAGCGCGTGTACGAAGGCCAATAATTCCTTCTTCCGTGCGTCGTCAATCGAGTGTACGGCGGGCACGTTCTTGCTAAAGTACTCAATCGGGTGTCAGTCCACACCGTCATGTTGCTCGAGGACATCACCAATGCCATAGCCAGACGCATCGGTAGTGACACGTGTCGGCAAAAGCGGATCGTAGATGCGCAACACCTCCGCGGATAGCAATGCGGCTTTGAGAGCCAAAAATGAAGTTCGCGCATAGTCGTCGAAGTCGAATGGCCGGTCCTCGCATTGAAGCTTGGATAAGGGAGCCGCGATCTTCGAGTATCCCTTGATGAAGCGTTGATAGTAGCCGGCTAAGCCAAGGAAGGAACAGACGTTTGTGACGGTCTTCGGCTCCGGCCACTCTTGGATGGCTTGAATCTTGTCCGACAACGGACTGATGCCCTCCGGTGTGACAAAATGGCCCAAGTATTCCAGCTCTTGCCGGACAAATTCGCACTTGTCGTGGTTGGCTTTGTACTTGGCGCGGCGGAGCGTCTCCAATACTCGTCGAAGGTGCTCAAGATGATCCTCAAATGTACTTGGCACGGCGGAGCGTCTCCAATACTTGCTTAAAATACTCGACGAGGATGCCGTCTAAGTAGACTAGTACGAACCGGTCCAGCATCGCACGAAACTCGTTGGTCACGGCTGCTTGAAAGGTCGTAGGGGCATTGGTGAGGCCAAAAGGCATAACGATCCACTCAAAATGCCCGTACCTTGTTTTGAACGCAGATTTGTAGCAATCTTGCAGGCATATTGAGATTTGATGGTAGCCCGACTTCAAGTACAACTTTGAGAAGAATTTTGCGCCGCCCGAACGCTCGAGAAGGTCGTCAATCTGCGGAAGAGGTCCTGCATTCTTTACGGCTTGTTCGTTGAGCTTGCGGTAGTCGATGCACAAGCGAAGATCCTTGTTCTTCTTCCGTACGAAGAGAACTGGCGCACCATATGGTGAGCTACTAGGGCGGATCCAGCCCTTGTCCAAAACATCCTCGAGTTGAGCGCGGAGAACCTCGAGCTCTTCCTCACTCATGCGATAGATGCATCCTTTCGGCGGCACGGCACCGGCCTCGAGAATGATCTCGTGGGAGAGCAGCCGATCCGGCACCACACCGGTAGGAACCTCGAAGATGTCGGTGAACTCGTCGAGCAGCCGCACCACTCGGGGGTCTGAAGACAAGTTCGTAGGTGAAGATTCGGTCGTCGCAGCGGCTCGTAGAAAACATAGGCATGTCTTGTCGGTCCGCTCGTAAGCGCAAGTGGCCCGAAAAGACTTGGCCGTTGCAACTTTGCACCGGATCGAGGAGTGCGGAAGAGGAATGGTACACGGCACCTCAGCGCTGAAGGCATCGCGAACGGTAAGTGTCCGCTGATGAAAGTTAACCGTGTGATCCAAACCGGCACGACTTCAATGTAGCGATCGAGGAGTTGTTGCGCCCGACCGTCCGCCAACTTGATCGCCATCGGGTTTGGCTTCCTTCGAACTTGTGCGCCAAGGCCGGGCCTTTGGATAACGGACTGGCTAATGAAATTGTGAGTCGCACCGCTATCCAGCAAAGTGCTCCAATATGCTTGCCCAACTTGGATGCGGACATAAAGGAGCGGTGCGTTGTTATCATCGTACCACTGCATGCGAAACTCGCGGACCACCTCCGTAACATACGCAAGGATGTCCCCCACCGCAGCTTCGTCATCCGTCGGCGAAGATGGTGGTGCATAGAAGGCTAAGTATGTGTGGAGATGGGCGCATAGTGCTGCGCATTGCGGTCCCAGCAAGCAGCCTGTGGAAGGGAGAGGAAGCCATGCAAAATCCTCGGACGTCAACGGGTCAAAGACCTCTATGTTGAACTCGTGCGTCGAATCCCTTGAAGAGCCACTTGAAGACGATCTATTGTTGCTGTTGTCGGACGGAGAAGAAGCCGCACACATCTTGTCCTTGAGCTTGAGAACCCAGCGAAGGAACGAGTCAGGCAGCATAGTCCTCGTAAAAATACAAGAGAGGACTATCAACTTCCGCATGTACCTCGGAATGAAGAGAGGTCGCTCGCGAAGCAACCGATTCCGACGGCGTCGAGAGTGCAGCCGCATCACTCTCGGTGGTGCTCACTTTCCCGAAGGGGATTTGCCTTGGACCGGTGTGGGGCACATTGCGGTGCCGTGCACCGCATTGTTGCACCACAAGCCGTATCGGTACTTAGTACGGATGCGGTACACGCCTTCCAAGATACCGTAATGTGTCCAAGGCTCTTGAGCCGCTGGTCCGTCCCCAGGGGCTGAATTGGTGTGTGTCTTCGGTTTGCCGCGTCCTCGCCCTCTAGCGGGGCGGCCACCATCCCGGGCGGTTGCCAATCTGTCTCCTTCCTTAAAAGAGGCACCCTCCTTTGAAGGGTTGGTCGTTGTAGTTGTTGCGACCACGGCCAATTTCGGCCGATGCTGTCCTCTGCCCTGGCCTGCAGCAGACGAATGGCCCAAATTCTTGGCTTCGATGTTCGTCACGATGATCTGCGAGGCTTTATAAAAAAGCTGCTCACTTGTGGTGAGCATCTCCGCAACTTGCGTCAAGGCGTTCTGCAACGCCGGGCAGCTCCTTCTGATGAAGAAGTGCTTGATAGCGACAAATGTCGACGGCAAGTTGGGCGTGGATGCCAAGCGTTGGTCCTCGGTGATCCAGTCTGTGCTTGGCAGGTCGTTCTGATAGAACCGTTGAAGTTTCTCGGCTGCCTGAAGCTCGGGCGGCTCTACTTGGAACTGCTTATGCCATGCTGCCTTGAGATCAGCCCAGCTGATCTTTGGATACAGCTCGGAGACTGTGACGTTGTGCGTGGACAACATGTTGTCCAGCCATGCCTGGCACGCGCCTCCCGAGCGGGAGTATAAGTAGGCGTGCCGGTTCGGGTTGATGACGTGGTGAATGTCCAACTTCAGCTCAAACTGCCGCCACCATGGGATCGGGTCCGTCTTCGTTGCATCGCAGAAGATCGGGAGGCCGTCAAACTTCGGGATGCTCTCGCGATTAGTCGCGGTCGGACTGGCTGCGGCCGCGCCAATCTGCTGGTCAATCCGCTGATTTGTCGTTAGAGCGCCGTCCTTGAAAGTCTCGACGTCGATTTCCAAGACATTGACGCGGTCCGTCAAGTTGGAGGGTCCGGCGGGGTTGGCTGCTGCAAGCTGCTGTTCCAGCCGACGTACCCGGTCAAGCAGTTCATAAATAATTCGAAGTGCTTCCGGACCAGGGTGTCTATGCAGAGGATGTCCTCTTGTTGTGCTGCACAGATGGCGACCAAGTCGCTCACACGTTCGATTGTGGTTGCAAGGCCACGCACAGCAGAGGGGGCACCCTCCTCTTCAGCAGCCACTGACCATTCGCCGGCAATTACCTCGATATCCCCCTCGCATCCGAGGAGTTTGTCTCGGCGTAGTCGACGGCGTTCGTCTGCGGCCTTCGTTGCTGCCTCAGCATCCGCCTGTCGCTGCTGTTCAGCGAGGCGACGTTGTTCCTCTGCTTGCTCATCTTCCTTTTTACGTGCGGATGTTGCCGCAGCTGCCCGTTGCTTGTACTCTGCTACCATGTCCAGCATGCGGGCCTCATAGGCCTCGGTAGTCTCGCCTGGCTGCTGCTCCATGCCGCTTGTCTTTGAGCGGGTGAGCACCATGCACTGACGTGACCTGCTGCTGCCGTGACTGGTTGCTGACGTGGCACTGCTGCTTTTTCCTGCTGACGTGGCCTGCTGACGTGGCAACTTACCAATGCCGCCGCAGGGGGTACCCGGAGGGAGATAGAGAAAAGAGCAGAGGGGGCAACAACCTAGGTGGGGAGGGGTGGGATAAATCGCCCAGATAAGGAGCCACTAATCAAAAAAGAAAAGTTTGAACTTTGCAAAAAAATTCGAGAAAAAGAAAAAAAAATACTCGTTTGCAAGTTCAGTAGGCCTCCCAAGTCCCCTGAAGTGCGAACTTTCAGACCGTAAATGATTTTCTGATAAAAGAATTCCGAAAAATGAAGTACAAAAAAAAATTCGGAATTACACAGATGAGAGTACGCGCACTTGGAGAATGATCACTGCAAGAGGGATTCCCGTACCATTTAAAAAAAAAAAGGATTACAGAATAAAATTATTCCGGATTTTCCAAATAACGGGAAATTGCAAAAGGAAATCGAAATTTTCGAAAAAGAAGATGTTCCAGAGTTTCAACAACGAAATTTTGAATTTTCAAAAGAAAAACGAAATCGAATATTTCAGATGTTGCGCTGTTGCGATTTTCCACAACAGAACTAGTGACAATACAAAATCCAAGAAAAAAAAAAAAAAAAAACGATTTTCGGCAGTGAGGTCAAAATCGTGATTTTGGGGGCTAACTAGTGTGCTCTAATCAATCAATCAAGACTAATCATCTACTCAGTCCCCGCACACGTGTCAGATCAGGTTGTCCTGATTCACATGCGGTGTTCCGATACCAACTGTTACATGCCCAGTTGGGCGATGTACATAATAACCAAGGATCCGCAATGTGATAAAAAGGACTGAATGGACAATGCAGTGCGAGTGGAATCTCAACAAGCAATGTGCATTTCGATACATACAAAAGGTACTTTATAGCGCAGTGGAAGACTTAGATACAAGTCCTGACCTGACCGGGACTGACCTCTCTCACGTAGTACAAGATAGCGAAGCAGAATGCTAGAATACTAATGACTAGCCCAATCAATGTTTCAACGCAGACCAAACATACATCATGCTCATCACAAGGTGTGAAGGGGCCTGGCGCTATACACAGGAAGGAAGCGCCAGGTCCAGACATACACAGACGAAGAGGAGGGGATCAGACGAAGAAGAGGGGGAGAGATGGGAACGTCGTCAACACCAAGTCTTTGTCACAAGGCCCAAATAACCCCTCGTCAAAATGTCTGAAGCCCAAAAGTCGAGTCTGGATCCAATGTCACCAAGCTCTCTCTCTCTCTCTTTCTCTCGTAGTCTGCTGATGCAGTGAAGTCAGATAGCGAGAGGGAGAGAGGGAGATGGTGGACTGAGAAGAGGAAGAAGAAGAACTCTCTCTCTCTCATATGCCRGGTACTAACCTGTGAAGATGGCGCTGTGCTGCAGGTACCTCGAAGACAAAGCTGGCGCAACGGCACTGCAGGTAAGTATCCCTGGCCTCCGTCCAAGCTCTCTCTCTCTCCAGTACTACTCTAGCTATGGCGCCCAGCGCTGAAGACTACCGCTAACGCTACTAGCGCCCAGCGCTGAAGACTAATGCTAACGCTACTACTACTCCTGCACCGCTCCTCCAGAGTGTTGCTGCCGAATCCTGAAGACTACTGACTGCCTCCTGCCTGCCCGTGAAGTGCATGGGAAGTCCCTATGTACTACCTCGGCCTGTCTCCTGACTGCCTCCGACTGCCTGCAGTTGCAGGGCGGGCAGTCCAGGAGGCTNCTACCTCGGCCTGTCTCCTGACTGCCTCCGACTGCCTGCAGTTGCAGGGCGGGCAGTCCAGGAGGCTGCTCTTGCCAATGCCAAGCTGAGCCAGGGGTTGGCGCTGCAGCTGTCGTGGGAACAGGCCAAAAATAGCCTGTTCCTAAAACCCTGGTTTGGTGCCTGAGTTTCGGGGCAGGTCGGTCTGATGAGGGCCCGAAAATGGCCCTCAGTTTCAGGCTAAAAAGGCTCATGCCGTTCTTAGTCTGAAACGACACAGGGCCTGTAGGTCCCTGTTTCCAGCTTTTCGAGCTGAACAGACACGGGGCCTGTAGGCCCTAAATTTCAGGCTTTCGGCCTGAAATTCAGGCTTTTAGCCTGACGCACGCAGGGCCTGGAAAATGGCCCTCGTGTGCAGGCGCAGCATGTAACACACACACACACACACACACACACACACACACACACACACACAAACAAAAAAAAGAAAAGTGGCGGTGTATATTTCCATGTTCTAGCGGAAATTCATTCCGATTTCTCTCTCTCTCTCTCTCTCTCTCTCTCTCTCTCTCTCTCTCTCTCTCTCTCTCT